AAGTGGCTGCTCTGTGGTGGAACTGCTGCTCCAGAACCTAGTGTTCAGGTTGAGAGGCCCAGACGGGAGACTGTCACCATGCATTCAGAACCCACCACACACTGATGGAATGACATACACTAATGACATTCGAAAGGGCTAACGTGTAAATCAGAAAGTAACTTGATTATTTGCAGTAAGAAACAAAATTGACAAGTCAGCCAGAAAATCATATAGGCTTGAAGGTATAATCCAACTCTTATGAACACATTGGTTTGTGAAAGTAGAAATGAAGCAATGTGAGCTGAGTTTTCTTAGAAAATTAACATGACCAGTACTTAATATGATTCCACTTTGATACACTCATCCCCTTTATGGGATCAGAATATCCAGAATATTGATCTGATCAGAACACTTGCTTTCCTAGATGCTACTGGAAATATACCATGCAATTCTTAGTTTTTGGTTTCCATTTTTAATCTACTATGTTCCTGAGTTCTTTCATTATATATTTCTAGTAAAAGTTATTTTATTTATCCACATTCTTGTCCTGGTGTTGTATATTAGTCATTGTGTGTTCTCTTATCCATAATTTTTTTGAAGATGTATTTTTATTTTTTGAAAGGTGGGGCTACAGAGAGAGAGAGAGAGAGAGAGCTTCCATTCACTGATTCACTCCCCAAATGGCCACAACCTCCAGGGTTGGGCCAGGCTGATGCCAGGAGCCTAGAGTTCCATCCAGTTCTCCTACATGAGCACAAGGGCCCAAGCACTTAGGCCATGTTCTACTGCTTTCCCAGGCACATTAGCAACAAGCTGGATTGGAAGTGGAGCAGCCAGGACTTGAACCAGTGCTCATGTGAAATGCCAGCATTGAAGGTGTGGCTTAACCCACTGTGCCACATATTAGCCCCTCTATTCATTTTCAAGGCAATTTTAGAATGGATAGCTTCAGAAAATAGCTAATGTCAGTCACTCTGTGATGTTTATTCACATACAAAGATCATATCTGTACAATCTATGATCATGTTTCAGTAACACAGATATGGCCCATGTGCTGACCATTCTGGTCTTCCCAGGAGTTGTGTCCCAGACTGTCTATATGTCTATTATTCTTGCATTCAGACGTTCATTTCAGGGATACTCATAGTGGTTGGGATGAAAGAAAAGGAGCTGAAAGACCTTACACAATTGGTATGGAGCATGAGAACAGACTAATCATTTTTCAAAGCAGTAATGAAAGATACACCCTCCTCTCTCTTTTTCATGCTTTGACCTCAAAGGAGTAAAGCCAACTCTAAACTCTGTAGAGACACAAAGTAGAGTTCAATCCTTCTGCGAAGGGCACAAATTACTAGGTAGGTATATGGGGAGGTTTCAGGATTCCCCCAGGCAGATGTGCTGAGTGTATGTAGTCTGCTCTTTCCAGGCTTGAGGAACACAGACTCTTTTGTTCAGACTTCATTTTGTGATGTTAGTCAAATTGGGGCCCAGAGGCAAGAGCTAGTTCATAATGGTCCATTCTCGTGTTCTGATACAACCATCAGAAAAGGGATGTGGGTGACTCCTAAGTTCAGGAAAGTCACACTCTAAATGTCCTTCATTCAGGAGATCATATAGTATTTCAAAGCCTTTCTTTTAAATATATTCCATAGGCTTTTGGATCACTGTCTTTTTATATCACACATATGCTAAAATGAGCATAAGAACATGTTTGAAGTAGAAACCTTAGGAGGTCGGAGGAAGCACCATTCCTAGCATGATGACAATGTTAGCCCCACCAAGGGCACAGCTGCAGGGCCCCTATTCTCTGCCTCAATTGTTATTGAAGCCTTAGGAAATTATCTCTAAACTTTAACTTTGGTGAAAGGATCATTTCCAGGAAAGTATAATGCCATAGATTCTCCCAGAGGGATGAAGAAGTCTTATAATCTGAAACTACAAATATAGATCTATATAAATTATTTAAATTATTTAGATATAGTGTCATTAAATTGCTTAAAATAAGTAATAGAATTATCAGAGAAGTTTATATTAATTGATTTTAAAAGAATATATTAAAACTCTTTTCAAAATCTGGAAATTTGTAGCCTTGGAAGATAATGTCTTAAGGGCATCATTTTTATGGTATCAGAGCAGGAAAGATGAGATGTCACCACCCAAAAAACAGAGGTTCTAGCATGCTGTGAGGTGGTGATGGATGGGCTTGTCAGAACTGGTAGCACATTACTGGGCAGACTGTTGAATACTGCTTTCTATGGTGCTCTTTTACATTTTGACAAATTCTTCTCTGTTTTTAGATGATTTAAACATCCTGTTGTGAAGTAGATCAGAGCTTTTAAATCGCAGTGGAAAATTGTCTTTGTTGCCAGGAGTACAAGTGTGTTGCTGTGAATGTAAATGTAAATAAACGGAAAGATTACCTACGTGTTTGGAAGCATTTGCAATTTCTTCTAGAGAAGTAAAATGATGAAGCGGGAAAGATGGGAAAGTTGAAGTTTTGCCCTCAAGTCATAATTCTCTTAATCATGAATCTTCTGTGTCTGTTTCTCATCAAGGGAATGGAGGTCACAGGGATTACCATCCATTTTTCACTAAAGGATCCCGAAAGTGCCAAGCACATAATAGACCTTCATTCTATATTATGGAGTAAATGAATCCATGAAATGAAATTAATCATATCAGCCTGTCTATATTTGGTTTGAATACTTTGGATGGGGATGAGACTAATGAACTTGAGCTCCCTTAAATAGAAATTCTTTGATAAGTCCAAATGATACCACAGTCACTTTTCCTTTGTTGTGTGAGTACAGCCTTCCAAATCAAATTCATTGTTGAAGTCAGCAAGAGTTGACATCTTCCAGAAATTGTGTGTTACTAATCTCAGCCTAGATCACCTGCCCTAGAATGGCTTGAGCTCTCCACTATGACATGGTAGTGAAAAGCCAGACCTCTGGGATAATGAATCCCAGTTTTACCACTCGTTGCATGACCTTGGCCGTGCTAGTTAGCCTTTGGTGACTTTGGTAAAAATAGGAACATGGGAAATATCAACGCAAGAAGTTGTATGGAAATGAAATCATGTAACGTTATTTTCCTGGTATGACATGCAGGAAGCACTCAATAAATATGCACTTGTATTTTTTTTATATCCATTGGTTTCTTAGTTCATTTTTTTCTTTCTGTTTTTCTAGTAGAGCAGGTATATAAATTTCCTGGGGTTGCCATAGAAATACACCACAAACTAGGTGGGTTAGAACAAGAGAAATTTCTTTCTTCACATTCTGGAGACTAGAAAACCAAAATCAAAGTTTTGGCAGGGCCATGCTGCCTCTGATACCTGTAGGGAAGGATTCTGTTGATGTTGCTCCAGGCAGCCCTTGGCTTGGAGCAGCATAATTCCAGGCTCTCATCTGTCTTCATATGGTACTCTCCTTGGCTCTCGTCACATTATATTCCTTCTATGCATGTCTGCATCCTGATTGAACCATTTTATGATGACGGTTCAGGCTTCAACATGCTCATATTTGGAAGTAGAGAGTTACAATTGAACTCATGATAGCATGATCCTAGGTTTTCCTCCTCAAATACATGTGACTTTCTTACCTGATATGGAAGTATTGTATAATACGGCACCAGATTGAGACTTTTAGTTTCCAGTTTAACTCTGCCACTAGATAGCTGTAACTAACAAAGCACCCAAACTCCCCAAGCCGAGTTACTTCAGTGTCAGATAAAAGGATCAGGCTGGACCGTGTGTACCGTGTCTTCCATCTCCAGAAGATTGTGTTTCTAATGTGTGACTGTCTTTTTATTGACTATGATGTGTATTTCAACTTCCTTGATGCTCTGGGCACCTTAATGTCCTGTAACTAGTAATAAATATTCTGAGCAGCATTGCACAAAAATAAGTAAGTATGGTAATGAAAATACAACCAGCTTGATTGAGTAATTCCAGAGTTTATACACATATCAAAGCATCATATTGTACACCATAAGTATATATAATTTTATCTATCAATTAAAAACAAATAACTGTGGGGTCAGCACTGTGGCTCACTTGGTTAATCCTCCGCCTGCAGCGCCGACATCTCATATGGGCGCCGGGTTCTAGTCCCAGTTGCTCCTCTTCCAGTCCAGTTCTCTGCTGTGGCACAGGAAGGCAGTGGAGGATGGCCCAAGTGCTTGAGCCCCTGCACCCGCATGGGAGACTAGGAAGAAGCACCTAGCTGCTGGCTTCGGATCGGTGCAGCGCCGGGCATAGCAGCCATCTGGGGAGTAAACCAATGGAAGGAAGACCTTTCTCTGTCTCTCTCTCTGTCTGTAACTCTACCTGTCAAATAAAAAAAATTGTTAAAAAATAAATAATTGTTATTCCATAAAATCTGTTCTCTTTATATTAACAAAATTAAAAAGAAATATTAAAAAGCATTCTGATATCTCTCATGGCATTGTCAATTGTCTCAATGACTACATGGATTATAACCCACAGTCTTCGAGTCTCTTAATTGAGGGTACTGGTTATTAAATAAGAATTTTGTTAGATTTGATTATTATTAAATTATCTAAATTAATGCCAAGGACCTTTCTGTGCATTTTTATCTTTCTGGAATTTTCCAAAATTCATAAATACATTTTTATGCCAACCTCCTACATATACAAACAAGATCCAAAGGTATGAGGGCTTGTATTACATGTTATTTCTGATTATACTATGGCACAACTTGTGTGAAAGTCATATATAAGACCAAAATTCAAAGGATTAAGGGAATGAGAATTTAAATTCTGCCACTGATGCACTGACTGTTGGCAGCTTTCCTGAAAGTGTACTGAGACTACCGTCATAGAAGTATTTCAACGTCTATTCCTCCACAGCTAGAAAAAACATTTAAAACAGATGTGAATAATCATTTAAAATGCCAGTTTAACAGCCAGGCAACAACAATTGTAGAGCCTCCTGGCCAAAGATCACTAAGTGGCATTTTCCTGGCCTCATGTTCACTGAATTGTTTCTCTTTCAGCTTCCTCCATTCTCAAAAGGGAGAAGCGGCTGAGGACAAAGAATGTGCATTTTAGTTGCGTCACGGTGTACTACTTCACCAGGAGGCAAGGCTTCACGAGTGTGCCCAGTCAGGGCGGCAGCACCCTGGGGATGTCCAGCCGCCACAACAGCGTGCGCCAGTACACGCTTGGCGAATTTGCTCGCGAGCAGGAGCGGCTGCACCGGGAGATGCTGAGAGAACACCTCAGGGAGGAGAAATTGAACTCTTTGAAGCTAAAGGTAAAAATCATAAAAAAAAAAAAAAAAACCTCGCTTTTTCTGAAACTCTCTATCCTTACAGCACTTTGATGAAGTCAATCATTTTCATATTGATACTTGCAGACCGAACTGGCCATTTTACATAACATACTGCCCAATAAGTCCTTTTCTTTTTTAAAAGCAAAACATTATAGTGTCCCCACTGAAAGTGAAGTGAGAAACATGCCTGACATTGCTTCCTCATTCATTCCACCCGTTTACTATTGAGTGTTACAAGATCATGCACCTGTGCCTGGGCCGGGGCTAGCAGGTGACCTAAAGTAGCTATGATCTGCTCTCTACAGGAACTTGCAGGTTAATAGGAAAGAAAAAGACCAACCAGGTTGTCAAAATAAATTCGTACTTTTGTTCAATGCTGCTGAGGACAGTAACAAGACGTAATGAGAGTGTGTAACTGGTTGTTGATATGGCACAGGAGAACAGGGACACTTAAGGAAGAGAAGTGCAAACCTGGAGCAGTAACTGGACCAAGAGGACTGGCAAGTGTGTCAGGTATCAGTAAAACCGTGGCTGCACTGTGAGCTCATAAGGGCGTATGCAGCTGGAACAAGGGTTTAGGAAGAGTGAAGTAACACCAAGGAGGCAGGGGTGGGCATTGTAAACTACCACTGTGATAACTTTTCCTCTTTATCCAAGGCCACCCATAGGAGATGCCGGCATGGCAGGTGATGGCTTAACCTGTTACACCACAATGCTGGCCCCTCTTGTTGCTTTTTTATGATGGGTTTGCATGTAATTTAATTTACTAATAATTCTTAATTTTGTTTCTGAAATCCACACTCTTTTAACCTAGTACAAACAATTCTGTCCATTACCCAGAGAAAAGTCATTCTCCAAATTCAAATATTGGTAGAACAATAGTAATGGATGCCAGTCACCAAGTGATTCTTATCTAACAAGTATTTTTTTTTAAATATTTATTTTAATCCTCACAAACACCCATTGGAAAAAGTTAACTAATATTTTAAAGATTTATTTATGGGTCTGGTGCTGTGGCGTATTGGGTAAATCTGCTGCCTGCAGTGCCAGCATCCCATATGTGCCCTGGTTCGAGTCCTAGCTGCTCCTTCTGGTCCAGCTCTCTGCTATGGCCTGGGAAAGCAGAAGATGATCCAAGTCCTTGGGCTCCTGCACCCATGTGGTCTATTATAGCTGACCAGCATCACAAGCTCCTGGCTCCTGGCTTCAGATCGGCCCAGCTCTGGCCATTGCAAACACTTGGGGAGTGAAGCAGCGGATGAAAAAAGTTTCTCTCTCTCTCTCTCTCTCTGCCTCTGCCTCTGCCTCTCTGTAACTCTGACTTTCAAGTAAATAAATAAATCTTAAAAAAAAAAGTCGGCCGGCGCCGCGGCTCACTAGGCTAATCCTCCGCCTAGCAACGCCGGCACACCGGGTTCTAGTCCCGGTCGGGGCGCCGGATTCTGTCCCGGTTGCCCCTCTTCCAGGCCAGCTCTCTGCTGTGGCCCGGGAGTGCAGTGGAGGATGGCCCAAGTGCTTGGGCCCTGCACCCCATGGGAGACCAGGAAAAGCACCTGGCTCCTGGCTCCTGCCATCGGATCAACGCGGTGCGCCGGCCGCAGCGCGCTGGCCGCGGCGGCCATTGGAGGGTGAACCAACGGCAGAAAGGAAGACCTTTCTCTCTGTCTCTCTCTCTCACTGTCCACTCTGCCTGTCAAAAAATAAAAAAAAAAAATAAAATAAAATAAAAAAATTTTAAAAAGTCAACTGTGGATAAGGAATATACACTTTAAAAAAATTATTTATTGGCCAGCGCTGCAGCTCACTAGGCTAATCCTCTGCCTGCCGTGCTGGCACCCCTGGTTCTAGTCCTGGTTGGGGCGCCAGATTCTGTCCCGATTGCCCCTCTTCCAGTCCAGCTCTCTGCTGTGGCCCGGGGGGGGGGGGCAGTGGAGGATGTCCCAGGTGCTTGGGCCCTGCACCTGCATGGGAGACCAGGAGGAAGCACCTGGCTCCTGGCTCCTGGCTTCGGATCAGCGCCACGCGCCGGCCGCAACACGCTGGCCATAGCAGCCATTTGGAGAGTGAACCAATGGAAGGAAGACCTTTCTCTCTGTCTCTCTCTCTCTCTCACTGTCTAACTCTGCCTGTCAAAAATAATTATTTATTTATTTGAGAGACAGAGTTACAGGCAGAGAGATGGAGAGACAGAGAAGTGTTCCACCCGCTGGTTCACTCCACAAATGTCCAAAATGGCCAGAGTGGGCCAATCCGAAGCCAGGAGCAAGGAGCTTCTTTCAGATCTCCCACATGGGTTCAAGGGCTAAAGGACTCAGGCCATCTTCCACTGCTTTCCCAGGCACATTAGCAGCAAGCTAGATCAGAAGTGGAGCAGCTGGGACTGGAACTCACACTGATATGGGATGCTGGCTCTGCAGGCAGTGACCTCAGGTTAAATCATTATTATTATTATTATTATTTTGGACAGGCAGAGTTAGACAGTGAGAGAGAGACAGAGAGAAAGGTCTTCCTTTTCCGTTGGTTCACCCCCCAAGTGGCCTCCACAGCCAGCGCGCTGCGGCCAGAGCGCTGCGCCAATCCAAAGCCAGGAGCCAAGCGCCTCCTCCTGGTCTCCCATGCAGGTGCAGGGCCCAAGCACCTGGGCCATCCTCCACTGCACTCCCGGGCCACAGCAGAGAGCTGGACTGGAAGAGGAGCAACCGGGACAGAATCCGGTGCCCTGACTGGGACTAGAACCCGGGGTGCCGGCACCACAGGTGGAGGGTTAGCCTAGTGAGCCGTGGCACCAGCCAGGTTAAATTATTAAAATATGTCTACAACTGAGGAAAAAGGCACCAAGATGTTAAATAACTGCCTCACTTAAAGAAAAAAACAATTACTGTATTACTTCCTATTCTTTGCATTGATTGTCCCCTATAGGTATTGGAAAAGACAGTCTTTGTACCTATAGGGATTTATCCTTTGCTGAGGTTTGATAGTGTGTGCAGAGGTTTGTAACAGCTAGGAGACTGTAATGCCATCTGAGCACGAAAAGATTTACTGTGGTGAACTTTGAGTCACATCAGATATGTGGTGAATGTTAGCACGGAAGCCACAAACCCACAGCAACCTTCCTTATCACACAGGATCTGTTTTGATAGGGTGATTTGTATCCTGTTCCATCCACACTGCTTTGTTTTAACAGGCTGAACAAGAAAGGAAACGAACCGAAAGCGCGTTCATGTCTGCTACTGATTCATTTTTTACAACTGTGCTTAAGGTTGGAAGCTGAAAAGCAATCATCTGCGTTGATGTAATGTCTCAGTGTGTTTTGTATAAGTGGAAACTTATAGTTTTCCCCTTTGGTAAAGATAAAAACAAAAGGCATTTGATGATCATCATTACTTCCAAATGGATAGAAAGCTAAAGGGTAATGGGTTCTGAGGTGATCAAACCCTGTCTTCACTGTAGTAAAAGTATTAAGGATTGCTAACATGAAGTTAAGGATCACAGCAATGGGTGGTGGGCATTGTGGTGCTGTGGGTTAAGCTGCTGCTTTGGATGCCTGCATCCTTTATCAGAGTGCGTGATTCAAGTCCCAGATACTCTGCATTTCCAATCCAACTTCTTGCTAATATCTCTGGGAGGCAGTGGGTGATGACCTAAGTGTTTGAGTTCCTGTCACTCATTTGGGAGACCCAGATGGAGTTCAGAATCCTGGCTTCACCTTGTCCCAACCCTGGCTGTTGAGAGCATTTGGAGAGCAAACCAGCAGGTAGAAGATTCTCCCCACCCCACCCCGCCCCTTCTCTACCTTCTCTGCCTTTCAAATAAGTTAATTAATCTCTTTTTAAAAACAGATCACAGCAATGTGGACCCGTTTTATAAAGTTAATTTATAAAATTAATTAATGAATTAGTGATGAAATCTCCTTGGGACATAGGGGATGTGTTAACTGCAATTCCTGTGGCATTATTAACTTTTCTGATTTTAAAAATATCATTGACTATACCTGCCTAGTGTTTGGTTATCTGAAATCTAAAATGAACTACCCCAAACATTAGCTATCCAAAACTTTCACTGATACTTGAAATTTCTCTGTCAATATGAGATTTGTTTTGAATTATAAATATCTTTGGAGTAAGTTTCAAAATAACTATAGCTAAGTAAATTCCATTACTTTGGCTTGGGCAGCAAGAGGGTCACTGGCACCAAAGAGGAGCCAAAAGAGAGAAGCAGTGATTGCTAAGGACAAGCATTGCCTTCCTTCCTTCCTTGATTTTGCCTGAATTCGTCCTCTCTGAGCAGCAATGACTTGCCTGTTGATTCAGGAAAGAAGGAAGGCAGCATCTGACAGTTTTCCAGAGCCTTCATTATGGAGAGCAAGGAAAGTTCCTTGGGCAATTCCCTGGACTGGTACTGGGTAGTTTTCCTTCTACTTCTTTGAGAGCCAGCATCCTGAGAAGAGTAAGGAGAAGTTTCTCTTACCCTGTGCCTCTGTGTCTTTCCAGGATGTCTCTGATGAGTTCCAAACAGAGAAGCCTTGTATACTATGGCATCTCTCCCAGGAGGACTTTCATAGAAAAGTATGAGCAAAAAGCAATATACATAGACATATTTGTGGGTGTTTCCTTATACTAAACTGTCGCTCCCCGTCTTCATGGGGGAACGACACTAAACCCTGCCTAGGCTTCATATCCGAGTCACAGCACCATTATGTCGCTCCCCCTCTTCGTGGAGGAGCAACACTAAGCCCTGCCTAGGCTTCATATCCGAGTCATGGCACCATTATGTCGCTCCCCCTCTTCGTGGAGGAACGACACAGGACCCTGCGCTGTTCTTTCGTCTGCTCGGCCCTCCCCGGGTTTGCTGCTGGTTCTTCCCGGGTTGGCTACTATCCCTTCCACCTCCGTGGAAGGGCAGTTCCCCCTGGCCACATTCCCCACTTCCGCAGGGGAGCGGCACACCGCCGGCCGGCTCTTCTCGGGGGCTGCACAGGTGTT